GAAGGGTAATGGCAACGTTAAGTTATTGCTCAAAAAAATGATCTCTCGAAACTTGACCGTTATGCAGTGTTTGCCAGTCACAACAATTAAAGATGGAAAGACGTTTATTGCAAGAAATAAACGAGTGTCGTTTACCACGAGCAGCACGTTTTATAATGACCCTTTCGGTTCATCACAGTTTGGTTTTTCTCAAGACATACCTCCCTTTGTTTCCCAGTCGGAAGGTTTCGCGTCCGGAGAAGAAAGCTTGCAAGAATCTACTCCCTTAAATTTAGAAGAGCGTGAGAAGTATGAATTTTCTAAACACTGTTTCTTTAACACGTTAATAATTAGTAACTGAAATTTTTCGATGATTTTCTTATTCAATGTATTTATATCTCTAGTTTATTTCAAGCACATTCAGAAACTGACTTTGTTCCTGAAGAGAATTTAATGGAGAAAGAATCATCGACACCAAATATCGAATTGGCTATTGCGGAAGAACCTTCCACACCAACTCCAGCAGACTCAAACTCAGAGGCTAGAATTAGACCAGAAATTATCCCGCCCAAAAAGGAATATACTTTTAGCCGCGGGATAGGTTCGGGAAATTTTCAAAAATTAGTCGATGGTATTGATGAACATGGTGAAAATTGGGAACTTATATCAAAAGAAGTTTTTAATGATGATGTTCATCCAGGTCAATTGAAATCTTTTTGGAATTATATGATGGCCAAACATAAGAATTCAACTATATCATCCAGTAGAGTGTATCCTTTCTGGACCACAAAAGAAACCGAAAAACTTATTAACGCAGTAGATTTACATGGTGAAGAATGGGAGAAAATTTCAATTGAAATATTCAATAAAAAAAGATCTTTGATGCAATGCAAAAACAGGTGGCTTAGATTACAAGAAAGACAAACTCAAGGGGAGCGGCTTAAGCCTTTTAAAAAGCCCTCGAGGACCTGGGGTGATAAATTGAAGGAGACATCCCTATGGATGACAAAACCTAATCAAGTATCACCAGAATTGGGCGATGTTCTCAAAGAGCAATGTGCATACTTTGTTCGGGCGTTAGGACAGCAGTTTGTGAAGCTCGATATAAATTTTGTCAATCCTCGGGAATTTCCGTGGACCAGAAAAGAAAATGACACCCTATTCGATCTTATTAAAAAACATGGATTTGACTGGGGCGAAATTTCAAAATCTATTCCAAATCGATCAATTGAGAGTATACGTGAAAGAGCTAGCAGTGTAACTTTATGGACTAAAGAAGAGGTAGCAAAATTCGAAGAAGCTTATGACTTATATCAAAGCGATTGGGCTCAAGTATCCAACTATATTAAGACAAAGACACCTGGGCTATGTTGGTCATATTGGAGAACAATTACGGGTGCTGATTTATTAGAACAAAATAAAACCAAAAAATTTGGTAAGTTAACATTGATCAATTTTTTTATGTTGATAATCAATATTTATACATATATTTTTTTAGATACAAGTTTTCATCGCGCCGAAATCAACGTAACATTCACAGATTTTACAACCACCAAATTATCTTTTATCCGTCATAACACAAATGACGCTTATGTGCTGAAAAATTGATTTAAAGACAAACGCAAATGAGAGTTTATGCAATGGAATTATTGATGATCTTGAAAGAATGTTTAATATTAACCGGAGTAAAATGGGAATGAAATTCTTACGAATTGACACATATGTTCTATTATAATAAAATAACAATAATAATACTTTATTATTATAAATGGTTTCATAAAAGAGTTACATTACAATGGTAAAATTCTAATATTCAATTTAATCTCCAAACTAAACGGAAGTATCCATTCGGGAAATGTCATCCACCAATTCAAAATGCACTTTCATTCACTGCGAAATTCAGTGGCCTTTTATCATCATCGGTATATATCGGTCGAATGGAGAGAAATGAAGCACGGAAAATCGAGGGACGTATGGCGGTGGTGGTTTCGCGAAACTTAAGAAATGCAATAAGGAAAGAAATATTGCAAATAAAAAAAAAATGAATGGAAATTCGTGAATGAATCTAATTACTCAAACTAAATATACGTATCTTCCGAACATTTGGAAGTGCCTAATAATCCTCTACCAGTATAAGGTGTATCAGTGACAGATATATAAAAATTGAGAGCAAATAACTATCGGACGAATGTACCTCTAATTTGTTCTTTGTGAACAAGTAAATATGGTTTACATGTACATTGGTGATTCGTCGGAAAAGCTCCTCGCACTTTTTCAATGGTGGTTTACCTTAAATAATTTAATGAGTTAGCAACTAGGGTAAATATAATAAATTAATATTATCGCTTCGACATATAAAAAAATAACCAAATACCAGTTATTGGGTAGTTTGGACTGTTCCGATAACGGTGAACACGTTTCTGAATTAATCCAGAATTCATTGCCATCAAATCCTCCAATATACTCATAAAACGCTCATTAAAGCAAACATACTACTTTGCTAAACGAAAAATTCAATACATTTTATACAGTATATCTATCTATCTAAATTTAATGAAACATGGGACCTATTAGATAAGGTGCAATAAAACAAGGATTGTGAGTATCCAAAAATGGTATCTTTAAGCGAAAAATGCTTCAACTCCCGAGTTCCAGGCCATAACGATAACCGCTGGAAGTGAAATAGGTGGTCTTCTAGAGGCTCTTCGATAGACATGCATGAATCGTGTTTTTAAGATAAGGAATGAATTGTATCGATATGTGGAGAACTGAGAGAAAAGAGAGAATCAACTAAGAACATGTGTATAATTATTTGTCGGTTTGATGATTTTCAAGAAGTTATGGATATAAAATTTAATAGCAGCATCATATGCTTTTTTATATTGTGCGTCTTAAAAAATTTTCCCAGAATCTCATTCACACGACTCAAGAACTTGTTCATAAAAGGGTAAATGTGCAATGAGAAAAAAATCTGGTGATTGAAATTACGTGAGAATTTACCATGTCACCCGTGCATTTAGCTATTGTTTTTCACAAAGACAATCAAATGATTTCTCAGCCCGAACATCAAAGAAAGTGCGAGAAAATTTGTTAATTTTATTTACCCACCGTCAGGCTATACTGTAGATATTACTTAATAAATTGTTATTTACAATAGAAAAATATAAAAAAAAATTAAAAAATTAAAAAATTTGAGAAATTTCTATTATTGAATAAACACAATTTTCAAAACTTTTTTTATTGATTTTTTTGCTAATTTAAAAAATATATAAATGTTTTTAAAAGATTTTATATTTTTCTAATAATAAAGTTTATATACTGTATACATTTTAATAATATTGATTTTTTAATGAATAAAAATAAATAATAATATTTTTAAACATTTTTTTTAATTTATTTTTATAATTAAATATAAAAATCTATTTAAAAAATTTATAGCAAGAATATCTAGATAAAAATAAAAACCTTATAAAAAAATATATTATTCAAAAATTTTTAAAAGGCAAAAGATTTAAAAATTTTTAAAAAATATATTTTTTTTTAAATTTGATATATATATATATTGTATTTTAACTTTTTATTGTTTTTTAAAGTACATATACATTTGTTTGTCTTTTAATTTTTACAAATGAATTTTAAATTTTTTATTATATTAAATCTTTTAAAAAATAATCAATTAAAATAATTAATTATATTAAATATAAAAAAAAAATTAATAAATCATATTTCCTATATATTTTTAATTAAATTTAGTAGATTTGTAAATAAATATTATTTTTTTATATATTGATATAATAAGTTAAATATGAATTTACTTATAATAATTATATAATTAATATTAAAAAAAAAAAGTAATATAATATTTATTTATATTAAATAAATAAATTAATATTTTAAATTTTTTCTATTAATTCTTTTATTGAAGTTTCAAACTAATATTGAAATAATATTAAATTAATACTAATTTATAATGAATTTAATATATAAATTATAATCCACTATATTAAACTTATAATAAATTTGATATTAACTTGATATTAAAATAATTTTATTAAAAATTTTATCTTTTATTAATTCAAAAAATAAATGTTTTTAAAAAATTTTATATTTTTTAATAATAAAGTCTAAATATTTTTTTTAATAATATACTATATATTCTTAAAAATAAAAAATTTTTTTACTTATTTACTTTCTTTTTAAAAAATATATTTCTTTATTTTTTTTTTGAATTTGAAATTTCAAAAAAGTTTATTAATAAATATAATTTTTATACTTAATAAAAATTTTATATTAAAAATTCTTTCTTGTGTTTTTTATTTTTTAATATCTAAAAATCTTATATACTTTTTTTATATTTACTACAAAAATTTTAAAAAAACCAAAAAAATATATTAGTATATCAGAATAAGATTTCTGATTAAAAAAACCAAATTTGAAAATCTTATTTTTTTTTTTGAATTGCATAAAAAAAGATTTATAATAATTGAAATTCTTCTTATTTTCATTTTTTATTAATATATAAAGTTTATTAAACAAATATATTTTCTTTTTGAAAAATCGTTTTTTAATTTAAAAAATTAAACTTTACTTAAAAATTGTTTATATTAAATTTAAAATATCAGTAGTATATACAATATATAATATATCTTTTATTATACTTTATATATTTTATTATATTATAAAAAACTAAAATTTTTATTTAAAAAATTTTTTATTAAAAAGTTTACTTCTGTCAATTAATCTATATCTTATACTTAATTAATTAAATATTATAAAATATTAAAACAAATCTGTATAATTAATATATTTCATAATAATTATAGTAAACAAAACCTATTTTGATAATAAATAATTAAAACAAAATTATATTTTACAAATAAATTAATCATTACATTAACAAGAATATTAATAATTAAAATGACAAAATATAATTCAAGTAATATATCAATAATATTATTATTTACTTTGAACAGTAATTTGATTATTTCTAGAAATAGTATTCTATTTTAGTTAAGTAAAACAATCAATATGATATATTTAATTTAAGATATTTTTTGATATTATAATTAGTCTTTTTTATATCTTTCTTTTAATTATTATCAAATATTCAAAATTAAATAACAATATTACTATTATTACTATTACTAGGAAATGGAAACCATTGTAGGTCCGAAACTAATAATAAAAAAAACTATGTATTACACAAGTGTAATAGACAGAATCCATACATAACCTCTATCTTCATCAAGGATTGTAAACATAGAATATCCTTTGCTTTGTTTCAGACAACTATTATTAACTATTAACTATTATATCAAATTAACTATCAAAAAAATATATTATTATTGTTTTTATATATTTTGAACTATAGCCTAATTATTTTGAAAAATATCATTGTATTTCAAGAAAGTAAAATCACTAAAATGACATATTTATTAGATATTATATATACTATAATTGGTTTTTTTTGTTATTATTTTTTTTTCTTTTTATTTTTTTAAATCTTATTATATATATTCTAAATAAATATTTATAGCTACTTAATATTATTAACAATTATATTAGTTTAAA